TTGTCATACTGACATAAATGAACATTTGCACGATATTCTAATTTTTCGAGTTTCACCTGTAGATATACATCCTAAGTCCTAAGCAGCCACTACTGCTTACTTGCTATTCCTATAGGGGAGAATTCCTTTATTTAAATAGGGGTGCCATATCTGGACTTCAGGAATCCGGGTGACCATTAGATGGCAACAGAGTGATATATTTCTTTGTTGCCATTTAATGGTCATGCAGAATTTTGCAAGCTAGGAACAGTATTTCTAACACTAGGTATAATGTTTCTAAATTCAGTATTCACTTTTGCCTCTAAACAAAATGCTGACATTTACCCATTCTAACTCTGTAATTGAACTAGTGTATTTATACTGTATAGGCATAAAGATAGACAGAGACAGAATTCAAAAGACTCAGTAAAAACAAACTTTACATGTTTTCTTGAAACAAAATAAATCACTGGGAAAATAAGATCGAATAATGGTTTTGCATGCTTGCTTATTTAATACTAAAAACAATAGACATGATGCTCAGAGAGAGAAAGAGAGTTAGATGAGTTGGAAGCACAGGCCAAATTTTGCTTCCTAACTCACTAAAATTTTCAGATGTTCATGGAAGCCTGAAAAAATGAACAGCTGTTTGAAAGAGATGATATTCTTGTGAGCACTCTAAAGCATATTTTTGAATAATTTTTGACACACAACCCTACTGACATCTGCCTTACTAAAGATTCATCTGTGATGTTTTTTCAGGTCTGTAAGGTAGCTTCAGCTTTTTCTAAACTATATACTTTTCTAATGGCCTCCTAATATCATTAATGATATAAGCTTTTATTGCTTCAAAGTCTTCTCTTTCTTTTATGTCTGCTCTTCCAGTAACCAATATCAAGTGATTCTCTCTTCCACTGATGATACTTCCCTTCAAACCTGCTCACAGCTGATTATTGGCATACAACTAGCCATTTCATTGACCTGTGTCTACTAAGATTCCAGTATTAATTCAGTCTCTGATTTTTAGAATATTTTCCTGTTGGACAAAATCATTATTAGAGTTTTCATCTCCTGAATTTGCATTTACAGCATATATAAAACATTGTCCCATTCTGCCCACAACATCATTTTTCCCTCAGATGATGCACTAAATATTTGTTATGTGATAATTATTCTATGCTAATGAATAGAGGAACCTAACTAATAAAGAAAAAAATTATTACCTATTATATTGTGGGACCTGCCCCACAAGATGGGTAACAGTTTAAAAGGTTACAGTATTTATGGGTTCAAAGACTAATATAACACTCTGCATCTATTTTATTGGCTACATATATGCTACTGCTTTGCATAGCAAAACATT